GAAATTGCCTAGAAAGGTACCCTTATGCCTATTAAGACAGCAAAGTTTTAAAGATGTTCATTGGACACTAGGAACAAGCTTGAACTCGAATATTCTGGCCATCTATAAGGACACCCTAATATTACTCGTGAACTTTGGCTAATTGTCGTATGGACATGTGTGAGTGTACCCAGTGATGTAACTCCTGTTTTTACCGCGCTCCTGTCTGTGTGCCATGCGGGTGAGTGTACCCAGTGATGTAACTCCTGTTTTTACCGCGCTCGCCTGTCTGTGTCCTTTATTGCAGCGAGACAAAGGGGACGAATCCGATATTGCTGACAATCGCGAAGAGGGGTCCAATATTGAGACGAGGGACGACGACGAGTAGGGATCCGATATTGAGCAGAGGACGATGACGAGGATTCCTTAGCTTGAGCGATCGGCGTGCCAGAGGAGGAAAAACCAGATTCCCACTCAGTCGCGGTCCTTTTATACGGTAACGGACATCGGCAGCGTGGGCTCGGAATGTAACCATATCCCTGCAAGCGTTCAAGATCAGCCTGTATAAAAAAATGGAGAAAGTAATATTGATTGAGTGAAGAAAAGTAGAAGCTAAATCAGATAAATAATCTTCCAGCCATTTAGTGGTGCTAGCCACAGTTACGGTTAATTGTGTGTGGACATGTTTCACAGCGTGATCCTACTTCCTGCCATTTTTTGTTCTCACTACTGTTGCTTTTAAAAAGTCTTGTTCAGAAACAGCTCAACAAACTCGGGAGAGAATTTTATCGTTCGCTTGGTTGCCTTATGATGTTTTGGCAGTAGTCAGGCAGGAGAACGTACTTCAACAACGCGATTGCATCACAGTTTCAACGCCGCTTTATGAAGTTCGTGCTCATATTTTTTATTTAGACTACATAGACTTACTATGTATTTCCATGCTTTGAACTGACAAATATAGCATTACTATTCGTGTCTGTAACCCTGTTGATTTATAAATTCTTCAGCATTCAAATATATTTGGATACAAAAGCAGTTTGTGTAATGTTTTGGCTTTCATGCTTAATTATTACAGATGCTGAAGCAGCGAGTTGCTGAGTACCTCGAAGAAAACAACGCGAAATTCTTTTCGTTCATGGAGTTCCACGACAACGAAGCAGTTTATCAGCTAAAGATTTACACTAAGCGCTATCCAGGTACTGTGAAAATCCTTGTGAAATTTCTTTTTTCGTTATAAATTTTTTTCACAGTGATTTTTTATGAACTCATTTATGGCGTGGTGAATATTAGAGATTCCTTTAGGGTTGGGCCGAGTGATGTTTATTATCTCGGAGTGGGCAGATAGGAACGGACTATTCACCGGTCGCCTTCAGAGTCATCACATATGCCTTATTCTAATCCTCTACGCTACAGGCCGCATCGTTGGCTCAAGTATAAATCACAGGAAACCGTTCTTTGAAAGTGTACGTTAATCTTTTTCAAGTTCTCCGTGTGCGCAGCTGTAGAGTATTCTGAATCTAGGCATGCTTTTTCACTTTTTATTGTCCCACACTTTGAAACGTAAGCTGCATTTCTCTTCAAATTTGCCTTTCAAGGTAGATTCAGCTAGAAAATCGCCATCTGAGGTTCTTTGAACGGGGGAACAACTAGCGCATTTGTTTATCGCAAAAGCACTCGGCGCTCGTGACACAGCCGCTTGTAAAATCACCTCGGACCGCGAATTTTCTTGAAACATGCCGCCTGGGTATGTTCACCTTGGGAACACATTTCACCTTTGTGTTCTAATAGCTTGTGGCATGCGTAAGTCGCTGGCACCTAGCAAATGCCATCGCCTTGGCGTGAACATTAGGTACTTTCGCGCCAGACGAGATTTCCCATTGAAACCACTCGAAATGCACACTTCAAACTTTTCCGAAAATTGCTAAATTTGCTCATGAGGTCGAATTTCAATTAAAATCCAGCCCAGTATTTGAAAAACAGGAACATTGAAGAAAGAAACAACTACCTAATTTCTAATAATTAATGTAATCAACTGTTTAAGCTAGAGGGATTGAACACATTTGGCAATCAAGAAGCAGAAGAGATGGAGGAGGAGCAACAGATAGAGCTATTCGTCGCCTTCTTTGAGTATCTGGCATCTCGCGAGTTCCGAAAGCTGCCGCATCTTTCATTCGAGGAGCTGCACTACGCGTCAGTGTTTCTGCGTGGTGAATGGATACCGCTTCATGAAGTACGTCCTTTAACTTCAACCATGAGGTTTCAGGCTCGCTCAGGCACATGCTCTTGAAAAAAATGACGCTCTCGCTCTCGCGTAAGCTAACGCTACTGGGGTGGGGGTAGGTATCGAGAGATAAGGTCCAGGATGCAGAACTTGCATCAAAGGTCGAAAGCAAGCTCAGAAATTGCGTCGAAGGGTAGTAGAAAAGTATGAAAATTATTACTTGCTCATCGATTGGACGTTTTCAGTAATTCTAGGGATTCCACCCATGGATGAGATACGTATTGATTGCCACCCACTTTCAGTATAGCCGGGAATCCGCTAGTCCGCGCGAAAGTTGGGAAGGTGCTGAATATTTCATAAGGAATAAATTTCCTTGTGTTTTCTGTCACTCCCTTTTTTATAATGAGTTTGGACACGGAGTTGGAGGCACACTCCAGTAGATAAATTAATCCATTAGTAGACTAGAGTTTGTATTGAAGGTAAAAATTTGCCGTTCCAACGGCTTGTAAGTACACAACAGGGCAGTTTGTCACTAATGTTGAAACCGTTTGCAGCTGTTATTCACAAACGCAAAGCGGTATACACAGCTGAGTTCAGCATCTTAGTCAGTGCCTGTTCCTACTAGTACTGTTCACATAACAAAGAAGAATTGCTTCAACAACTGTGCCTTCAATGATTTCTGCTTTTGTTCACTGGCATAACCTTCATACAATTTCTTCTCTTCCCGAGCGGAACGACAACATTTTGGATCATCATTTTTCTCTATGGGGATTACTGACCGTCATGATCACAATATGTGTCACTTATTTCCAGTCCAGTTGCCGCTACACAGAACAGCACCAGCAGCATTGGCGCAGCACCTGTTTTCACCAAAGTCGTTGAAAACTTCCACGCGAGTTTCTTAGTGTTTCAGTCGAACGTTGTATTGCCGATTTGGCGCTAGCGCCATAAACCAGTGCCGTAGACGTAATCACGATGCTGCAAAACCCCTCAGTGCACTCTGTTGAAAACAGGCGTTGTGCCATGTCGATGCAGTTTGACACCAATTTGGAGCCGACGTTGGGCCGATGTCATAGTTTGCGAATCGAGCGATTCGCTAGCGAATCGCTGGATCCGAGCGTTGCGCCAGCGAATCGAACGTTGCACCAGCGAATCGAACTTTGCGCCAGCGAGTCGAACGATGTACCAGCGACTCGACACTAAAGTGGCGGGACCCCACGTTTGAAGGAAGTCCACTTCAAAGGTTCACACTGTATGAAAGCAGAGGGACTTCCTTTAAACGTTGGGTAACGCCAATTTCAAACAGTGTTAAGTTGCTGGTCCGTATTGAGTTGTCTCATAATTCCTGTCTCAGTCCCATTTAAATTCAAATTTCTTCTGTCTGAGACCGTTTTATTGCGAAATACGTTAATATGTTGAAGTATGCTTCAAGAGCCTCAACAGCGTGGTTTCAGAAGAGCAAGCCCATAACGGGTTAATCAACTAGGAATAAAAATAGGTCAGTGACAAAAATGAATGATTATGCTTTACGATCCCTCAAATGAACTCTGTTGCAAGGAGGACAACAGAGAAGGATCAGCGCTGTGTTTGGCCCAGTCCCTGCTACTGATAGGGTACTGAGCTAGTGGTCCAATCGCAACGGCAAGAGACGAAAGGGGCTGTGTAAATCAACCTCAAACTGAGCCTGCGGTCACTTTTTGATGAGGGCCCCTTGCACCATAAATTGGGAGTGCATCCAGACGTTGCTTTCCAGAGTATTGTAGCAGATACCTGGGCGCAGCCGGTGCGCCAGCGCCACACCATCAGGATGGAAAGGACTGCAGCAGAATGATGTCTTGATGGAACCCAGGTTCGGACTGACCGGTTTAGGAGCAAGAGCACGCCTGACTACTTAGGGAAAATTCATTCTGCGAGCGATAAGCAGAGACTTCCTCAGTCGGTCATCAGTGGGGATGAGTCACGAGTCTACTGCGACAACAACACGCGGCACGCCTGATGGCTCGAATGAAGTAAAGTGTCAAAATTGAGACAGGAATTATGAGACAACCTAATAGTTCGACTCGCTGGTGCAACGTTTGATTCGCTGGCGCAACGCACGGATCGGAGGGTGCAACGCTCGATTCGCAAACTATGACATCGGCCTCAAAGCTGGGAACGGGTGCAGCAGGTGATGGGTTCCTAAATCTCTGCGTCTACAATGGTCACTCTGGTCGATGACGCTACTCTCATGGTCATGAATAAGGATCGTGCACCAGTTTTTGGGGACCCATCCACCGGTTGGGGCATTTGCTGGCAACGCCGCTCCTGGAATTTCATGTGCGTGATCAGGGCAATCAGTACCCTTATAGAAAGCTTCAGCGGAAATTCTTTATTATTCCAACTTCATCTCATTTCAAAAAGGATCGCGAGCGATGTCGACTTGAATTTCCAAAATGTCGACATGCGGTTTGCGGTTTGAATTATAAGATAGTGTGATGAAATAGATTCAATAATATCTACAGGCAGCCGTAAAAACATACTACAATATGGTTTTCAATCTGCGATTCGACGAAATGAGCGACGACCCGCAAATAATCCCAAGGAGTTTGACCGTTCGTGAGTGCGAGCCCTTCGTCATTGAGTTGCCTGGTAAGTCTCTGTGTTCCGCTTCTTATGATGTTACGGATCCCATCAACGGGATCTTTTCAGCATAATATTAATATTTGCAGAGGACATAAATGACAAGAGAGTCCAGCAGCGAATCATGGAAAAAACTGGGGTCGACGAAGTTGCCCTACGACGACTAAATTGCAAACAGGAAGGTGTGTTTCGGTTTGATTCTGAGTGTTGAACATGACTGCGTCGGTAGAATGAATGACAATGCAGATCGTTTGCGTTAATCGGATGGAGAAAATTTCTTAAGAAAGCCATGATTTTGAAAGTGGTTTTCTGCAGGGGATTTGCTCTGCTGTTCAAGGCATCTCCTTGCGCGTGGAGGGGGAATCCTCTCAATTATGAGAACCTGTAGCGAGGACCCTTTGGTACGCTGTATGACTGATTGACTACGCAGCTACCGCGAATCTGGCCCATCCGACTAAAACGTGCTGAACAAGAATTCAATCAAGCATTGTAGCCCAGTAATTTTGTTCTTGTTCCTTCACTGACTCACTTTCATTGTCCTTGGTACCAGAACATGTTTTAGAGGCAGCAGTAGCAGAGTGAAACAGTGCAAGGTTGGACCTGTCATCGCTGGGGTAGGTGATGTGTTCTCTCATGCCCTGTGGGGTAACGGTTTAACCGGATCTCGATGCTCTTTCACTAAAGATGTGTTCATCCTTCTCTGCCTAGCAGCCCGACTACTCCCGAGCTGTAAATATTGGTTCAAGACTGTTCCACTTAAAAAAAAACCTAACCTGTCTGTGTACCAAACAGTTTCGAATCTATGGGTAAAAATGCATCCCACGGTTAATGCTTCGGTCGTGTCGCTCGTTAAATAGTTGCGAGGACACTCGTTAATGAAAAAGCCAAAGAAACTATCAAAATTACTGGAATCGAGCGGTTCTTCTTATAGAATGAGCAGTACTGCGACGGGGAGACACTGGCACCTATGAGAGGGCACAGACGGGAGGGAATGCTAACGAGGGGCACACCACGCTGCCTAGTAAATAACAGCCATACCCGGTTTCCTGTCGATTGTAATGAATTTCATTGTAGGCCGAGTTGCTGTTTCCGCTCGTGGAACGGTGCAGAGTTTACGAGCGCTTAGAGAATTGGTGACAGTGAAGCCGCTAATCAAGACGGCTGCGAGAGGGAAGGAAATCTCGGAGCAATTGTGTCGTCTTACTTATGAAAATATTATGAGATAGCCGCTGTGGTGCTTTCTGCTAAACCAGCTGTTGTCAGTTGTTTTACTATACTATTGTGTACAGATGTATGTACAGATGCATATCTCTTATTTTATTTTTCTTTGATATTCTGCGGACAGAGTTGGAAGTGTGTCAAGTAGAACCAGGCTCACGATACTATCGAATATTGGTACTAAGTCACATACCTAAATCAAGTGGGCGTGAGCGGTATACTCCGCCCATTCCTCCTCTTCTTGAAGAGTCCATTTTCCTCACGATCAGATTCTTTCTTATGCCCGATTTGCTTTGTTGTTTTTTCTACACTGGTGCTCCTGTTGATGCCCTGTGGATCTGAGAGTGCCTTTCATTTATTATAAATGTTGTAAAAACTATTTTCGCGCCCTGACTTTTCCATGTATTACTATTCATATACTTGTACATTGTTGCTTTAGTGAACGATCTCACTGTTACCATTTGCCTCGAGAAAAATGGACCCCGAAATCCAGATTGTACATGTAATCTAACATTGCTATTTTTGCCATACTTTAGTGCCCTAGCTTATTCCGACTAAGTAAATAGTTCCACAACACTGCACTGTTACTGGTTCTTGAACAAGTCGTATAGTACGATATTTTACTTCATGATCGAAATAATCAGCTTGGGGCATATGTTCCTGATGTCGTTGTAATAGGGCCAGATTACCGTTGGTGATACTCGCTACTACATCTTGCTGATACAAGTGGGACCGCTTCATCCTAGCTTTTCATGGTATATTACAACCAGTTGGCGCCGCACGCATTGCGCGCACAACACAGATCTGCGGCGAATTTTGATGGTGCGACGAAAATTTTCAAATTTGGCTTGATACACCACGAATATCTGAATTCTCAGCTAAATTCTATCCGCTCCATCATCGACGGCTTTCAACCTCTTTTTCTTCGTCAACCATTATCCTCTTTTTCTCGGTCTCCGGACTGCTTCCGGACAATAAATCTCGTGGCGAACTCCGCCTACTTCGGTGCGTGCCCCGCCCACCAATAGCATTTGGCCCCCTTCCTTTCGCCGACCTCTACCCCTTTTTTCACCGGTCTCTGGGACCTCTTGGAACCAAATTACGACACTTTTGGCAAACTCCGCCCACTGATAGCAGTTGACCTCTTTTCCCTCGCCAACCTCTAACCCCGTTTTCCCTATCTCTAGGACTTCTTGGAGCCGAGTTATGAATTTTCGTCGCAAACTCCGCCCACTTTGGTCAAGCCCCGCCCACCGATGACAGCTGGCCTCCACTCCTCCACCCACCTCCATCCACCTTTTTCCCTGCCTCCGGGACTTCTTGGAGCCGAATTACAATTTCGGCGCAAACTCCGCCCACATTGGCGCACGCTCCACCCACCCGTAGCAGTTAACTTCTCTTTCTTTGCTGACCTCTATCCACTTTTTTCCCGTCTCCAGGACTTCTTGGAACCGAGTTATGAATTTTCGTCGCAAACTCCGCCCACTTTGGTCAAGCCCCGCCCACCAATGAGCTGGCCTCCACTCCTCCACCCACCTCCATCCACCTTTTCCCCGGCCTCCGGGACTTCTTGGAGCCGAGTTATGAATTTTCGTCGCAAACTCCGCCCACTTTGGTCAAGCCCCGCCCACCGATGACAGCTGGCCTCCACTCCTCCACCCACCTCTATCCACCTTTTTCCGGCTCTTTAAGACTTCCCCGGCCCGAATTATGAGGACTTGTAGAAAATGCTGTACACTTCAGAGCGCGCCCCGCCCATTCTGGGCGGGCCTCCGCCCACGTCATGTATGAAGAGTACCAGAATCGGACAGATGATACCTCGCAAAGAAGTGTGGAACAAGAAGTGCGAGAAGCTGAATCCAGGAAACAACTAGGAAAAGAGAATAAGTCAGATTTGAAGCCTAAAGCAGCTTTGAACCAGCCATTATGTTACCCATCATAGTGGATGGACGTACCATTGGATTCGAGTTGGACACCGGCGCCTTTGTATCAGTTATTGATGAGGTGACCTGGTCGAGCATTAGGAAGCCAGAAATGAAACCGACCAAAGTGGAGGCTACAGCATACAATAATAGCCCTCTCAGTCTTGATGGTCGATGTAGAGTGAATTTGCAGTTTGAGGGACGTTCTATGGTAATGGAAGTTTATGTTCTACATACAGCTAGCCACCCACTGTGTGGCCGAGACATGATTAGGAGACTGCAAATAGGTTGCGGACCCCATGTACGGAGCATGGAAAGGAATCTATTCTAAATCGAATCGAGCGAATCGCTAGCGAATCGCTCGATTCGCAAAGTATGACGTCGGCCTTAGCACCGAACCTGTTTAGTAAGAACTGCTCCCCTGGGATGCGCCAAATCGCTTCTGATGAGTAGTCGCAGTAGTAGTTGAAAGTTCGTCCTCTTTTGCCTCTCTGCCACGCCTGGTAAATTGAAAGTTTTGTACTACTGTTTTAGATCACGACCCTCGCCCCCCTCCATTGGCCAGATGCGACCCTCTCGTTGATCTTTGCACAACGTGCGGTTGACCATGCTCACGAGGGCACGAAGAAGCGTGAGAGCGTGAGAGCCCGGGAAAGTGAGAGTCGTGCAAACGAGAGGAACTCCCGCCATTTTCAAACAATCTCGATTACCGCTGGTGTTGTATCGTTCGAACCGCTGGAACATCGTTCGAGCTGCTGGTGCATTGCTCGTACTCCGCGATTCGCTGCGAATCCACGGACTCGCAGTCTGACACTCACCTTACAATGATCTGGAATCTTCCGCAATTTTTTGGGTGCTATCTTAATTGGGGGGGGGGCACGCGGCGGCGCGGCGCTCTGTTCGTCCTCCTCCTGCAAGGCTTAGTCCTCGATGGCGCCTATTTCGAAACTGTCATGTGATGGCGAAATAGTAACTGCGGCTCTATACAAGTGGGATGGGCACGTCCAGCTTTTCACGCATGTCAAGTGGCTGCCCTCACCCCCCACCCCCTAGATTGGCTACACTCCCCCTGGCTCACGAATTCCCCGATTCTGGTGACAGTACAGCAGCGGGCAACAGTCCTACTGACATACTTTTCTGTTCAAAAAATGCGGCGACATTACTTGTATAGCACCGTAACTGCCCCTGGGACTAAGCCTTTTGAGGAGGAGACGAACAGAGCGCCGCGCCGCCGCGTGCCCCCCCCCCAACTAAGATAGCACCATTTTTTGTTCTCTATTTATAGTTATCGAAGGCATTTCTTTCAGAACGTTCTATAAATGTTTCGTACAACTGGATTTACAGATATATGGCAAAATCCTCGTGCTATACGTACACCACGCTACAAAACCTTCCTGTTGCTGGGCGTGTCAACGTCTACGGTGTGGTGTACTCAATCACCGCACTGACCCTCGGTGGGCGAATCATTGAAATCGCGGTTGGTCCGAAGTTCTTGGAAAAGTTTCACAATTGAGTTTGAGAGGTGTTCGTTTCCAATATTTCTAGGATGAAAATGGGACAGTTTATGCAAAGATTAGCAAGGAGTCAGAAACTTTCTTCAAAAAATTGCAAATGAAGGACATACTTCGATTACATCGAGTGGAGGTCTGTTATTTCACTTAAAATCTTTCTTCGGTCTAATTTTTTTCACTGTTTTTTTTTCATCTGCGGATGAGCTAAAACAACACATTTTGTTTCCATTTAACCCTCTGCAGAAAGCTAGGAAGCCAGATCTAGCAATAGCAACGCTCACGGAATGCTTCTTACCCTACTCACTACACCTTTGTAAATATGTCACAGTCTGGCACGAATCTCCTGCTTCCTGGAAATCCCTCTGGAGAGTTTCAAAGAGAGATGGGTGGGCCATGTTCAGGAGAAGAACAAAACATGCATAAGGTTGGCCGAGCTCTGCCCACGGTGGGGTGGAGTGCATTGAAATGAGCAATCCCGAGGTGAAAATTTCGAATTTGATATCAGAACTGCCTAGGAACCGGGGAAAATGGGTCAAATTGTGAATTGGTGAGCCAGTCGAATTGGGCCGGTGTCAGACTGCGACCTCCTTCGGTCCGCTGGTACACAGCTAATACGCTGCTACAACGCTTATACCACACGATTTGCTAGCGAACATGTCGGTTCGCAAATCTGACATCAGCCTCAGGGATACCCACCTTTGGTTGGCATGGCGTTATCTGAGAAGGCAGCGCTTAATGAAAGAATTCATAAAGTTTAGGGGAAAGCCGGCGTAGGGAAGTGCTGACTAAAGTGTTATAGCATGCATGGCGAGAGCAGAGGTCAGCCCGCAGTGGGCGAGGTGTGTCATAAGGGAGGATTCCACGATAAGAAAAATGATCGAAGCAGGAGAAATTCGTCTGTGGAGAGACAGGCGGATCCCCAAAGGATGCGGACGATTACGAAATTCACATCGAAGGATATGCCCCTGGCTAACAGCCCTTCCGTTTGGCGCAACTTGGCGCGAACGCCCACCGACTATCTGATCACTCGCCGCAGGTCTATACGTGGCGAGTGATTAGATAGCAGAGAGCGTAGTGTTGAAGAGGGCACAGCGATGAGAGTCGCATCAATGCGCAAATCAACGGGCAAGGAAGGGGTCCCATTTCTCGGGTTTCGGGCCGTTTCAATGGTTTCTTCTTCATCCCCTGACCACCTCTACCCTTATTTCCAATAAGCTACCTTTCCATAGCAAAATCTACCTTTATGTTGGTGGCGTTTCTTTCTAGAGTTCATAATTCAATTCCGAGAAGCCTTACAGACTGAGAAAATGGAGGATAGAGATTAAAGAGAGGGAAGGCCAAGCCTCAATGGTGAGAGTGGCGTGCACCGAAGTGGGTACAGTTTGACACGAAACTTAATAATTTGGTTCAGAGGCATTTCAAGGACCGGGAAAAGATAGATGGAGGTTGGAGTAGGAAGGGAAATCAACTGCCATTCGGTTCAGGGGCAGTCTATAAGCCGTAAAAAAAGATACAATGGTTAACGAGTGAGGGAAGGCCAAAAGCCATCGGTGAGTGGCGCATGCACCGAAATGGGCGGAGCTTGCTTCGAAATCGCCATGTGGTTCAGAGATAGCATGGAGACCGAGAAGAGAGCAGAAGAACCATGACCTGGGAGGAGAAATACTATTGGTGAAAAAATGTTGAATTGCTAGATTTGTGAAGTGGCCGCACATCCCATATTGCCGTGGAACTGCATTATGCGCGCAACAGACCTCAACTGGTTGTTAGTAAAATGTGCGAGGGTTGAGGGACAGGACCGCGTGAGGGCAGAGGTATGTAGATAGTTCGGCTCACCCTTTCGAATTTTTTTAATCTGGTTTTTGATCACTTCAATGTTACTCTCATCCCCTTCTAGATTGCGTGCTTGTATACTGAAAAAATCTAATAAATGGATGAACAAATGTCATTCACGGACGAACTTCAAGAAGAGCGCTGTGTAAGGCAGTAGTCATATTTTGCAATCTTGCCTCTCTGTAAACCACTCGTGCGATCGTGTAATCGCACGATTGTGGAATCGCATGGTTGATCATTGAAAAGTTTGATTGCGGCTTTAGGCCGATGTCAGACTTTGCGAATCGCGCGATTCGCTAGCGTCTGCGGTCGCGTCGCGGCCAGTGAATCACTCAATTGGCTGGTACCGCAACGCGACCGCGGACGCTAGCGAATCGCGCGATTCGCAAAGTCTGACATCGGCCTCAGCGATACCAACTGTTTCTTATGTTTGTCTATGTCTTGGTTCGGAAGAAGATGTTGAAAGACAGGTGTTTTATGTGAGGGCCTTCTATAGTCCATAATGTTATCTCCTACTGTATCTCATCAATTCCTAGTTAATCCACGATTCAGTGGAACCTAGGCAATACCATATTTGAAAGCGAGAACTCGTATTGTAAAGGGCGTATACCGCATTATAAGCAGCACTTCCTTTGATATTTTCGCTGAGTTCTGTTGCTTGCTGCTATGTAACTCATTGTTATAGGTTGGCTCTTATCGAGGTGAAAAAACTTTGATAGTGGAAATTGGAGCTCATGGTTGTCACGCTGTGGCTTGGTCGGGCTCGTCGGCTAGACCCAAATTGATAACATCGAAGAAGTACACTTTTGACGACCAAGATATCACAAGGGTCAGGTTATAGTGAACTTCTTATATTGGCATGATGACAAGTGCATCATATAAGTGTTCCAAGTTTTCAGCGTTCTGAATTGCTAAAGTGGTGTGAAAACGGAGAAATCAACGAAGAAGTACCTTCAAGGAGCGACAATGTTAATCTTCCAAACCAAAACCCATCGGCTGAGCAGACCAGTACCTCCTCCCCGACCAAGTGCGAAAAAATATTTTCCTGTTTTTGTTCTTTTTCATTCTATCTTTACATCATACATATTTTGGGCCAGCTGCGGGACCCTCAATTTGATACCTGGAGCAGTGTAACTTTCGTAGTTTTATTTTTTTTTCAATAGCGGAATCGATGGGTGTATCCACATTGTAATATCAAACCTTAATCCTAGCTTTCACCAGGCCGTAAATTTGAGGACTGGAAAGTTACGAAAAATATTACGAATCGACTAAGCTGTTGGATTTGCTTTGAGTTCGCCTTGCCTTGAGTCCAATAAGGTTATCAACACGTGGCTTTCTTTAATAAATTCCGCAATGCGAAATTTAATAAAGAAAGCCACGTGTTGATAACCTTATTGAACTTCACATATTCGTATCGTTGTCTGCTGAGTCAACGATTATTGGTGCCCTGTTTCGTTCCTCGTTTGAGCCGATCGTCTTAGTTACACTTCTAAACGGCACGTGCTCGAATTTGGTGGTCGACAAAACGTGATAACAACTGGTAAGGACTGGTAGGAGGAAGGAGTAGTCACTATGGTTGTTATCCAGATGCGCGCTGAGAAAAACGTTCCAATTTGTTTGTTGTGCCGTCTCTAGCTTCTTCGAGATCCATTCGTCTTCCAATCCCCTCTAACTTCCTAAAATGGTTGGTGTTTGTGGAATACGGTAAGTATTGGCATTCTGTTCAAGTCACTGGCTCGAGAAGTTATTCAACCGCTAAATCATCCCAACATTTGAAGCATGGTAGCTGTTTCCGCTAAGGGCCTATAGTAAACAGTCCAAGTACTGTTAGTTATCCAAAATTTATTCGGCTGCTCGATCGTGAGAGTTTTCAAAAAAAGGGAGAGCATTCGTGGGTATTGACGAGCTACGGGAACTGCCTCTATCACCAGCACTAGTATCTTTTCATAGCGCTATCCCAAGATATGGGGGCATTGTGGTAGCATTGCACTCAAAACTGCGTAAAGCGTGTCCTTTTCGTGAAAAAGGAGAGTGAGCCTTAGACGGGAGAGGAGAGACTCTAGGGTGAGTGGGCCATTCTTATTTCCTCGAAGTTCCTGCTCCCTTCTAGGCTTAGTCCTAAAGCATCCCCCCATATATTGCTATAGCGCCCTTTTCATTGATAACATCTGTCAGTTTTTTTTCGCATGTTGCTTAATACAGCCCGGCTATGTGCTCATCGTCAGTTCTATTAGAGCCTATTTTGACAAGCGCGCCCTAGAAGGGCCGCGAGCCAATTCGTAACCTATAGGCCGATGTCAGACTTTGCGAATCGCGCGATTCGCTAGCGTCTGCGGTCGCGTCGCGGCCAGTGAATCACTCAATTGGCTGGTACCGCAACGCGACCGCGGACGCTAGCGAATCGCGCGATTCGCAAAGTCTGACATCGGCATATGTATTAATCGCTCCATATTCTGAGATCATATCTGACGAATCCATCGAACCTTCCCCACATCTTGTTTGTCATCTCATTTGTTTGATAAGTTGCATCCTGGAATAACCTGGGCGTAGCATTCCGTCGCCTGTTAGCAGAGTTTCCTTCTTCTCCGGTTAGCAAGGTCAACTCCGTGCGCACTGTAATTTCGTAACCCGAGAGATGCGTCCCCTCCTTCCAAGGAAACATTAGGATGCGGCTCCATGCCCACTATCACTATTGGCCTACTTCTATTGGCGGTAGGTAGGAGCGCTAATTTTTGCCATTTTAGCAGCTTTGATTGCTACTCTAGCCTTAATTCCTCCCAATTTATCTAAATTACGACCATTCTCACTACATCTCATGTGCTGTGATTTGAAAACAACAGAGCGATTACGGTAATCAGGACGAACTCAGGTGAAATAACTATTTATTATAGATGCTTCGGCCGTTTTACGAGAACTCGTTGTAACATGTCTGATGGGAAGGCAAAGAAGATGTTTTCTTCGCCTCTCCATCAGACATGTTACAACCACTAGAAAGGTGAAGGCGTCCACATACTTTTGCCCAACAGTCACATTTCGCGTCCCTCCCTTTGTCATCTTTCTCAGCTACGCCGTGCACGAGACGGGCTTGAACTCGCACGGTACAACGGCGAAACTCGGGGTTGGAGGGGGGCGGAGCAGTGGCAGGGCAGCGGTGTTGTCTGCTCTTCTAGGGCTTAGTCCACAGGAACAGTCCTCTTCGCCAATTATGTGGCAGTTTCAAAATACATCGCCAACGCCTGACTAAGCCTTGGTAGAGCTGACGAAAACAGCGCCGCGCCATCGCGTGCCCCCCCCCCCCCGCGGTCTACGGACAACTTGAACTCAGCCCTTTAAACCGCCTCGATTTGACGCTCTCGCCTGCGCTCTCTCGCTTAACCAGCGCTTTATGATTACTGTGATCTTATGTATTCAAACTTTGCCACAATATAATTGGCTCATCCACTACGGAGTCCCTCCTCCCTTCAAGGCTTAGTCCTAGAGCTCTCACCTTCTTGGTTGGGATTTGAAGCCGAGCCAGGCACCGTTCTCTTAGCGTCTGTGCTCTGGCTCTTCTCGGCAGAGAATATAAGGCCGATGTCGTAGTTTGCGAACCGAGCGAATCGCTGGATCCGAGTGTTGCGCCAGCGAATCGAACTTTGCGCCAGCGAGTCGAACGATGTACCAGCGAGGCGTCGAACTAAGTACCAGCGACTCAATCAAGCACAGGACCCAACGCTGCAAAGACACTTTCAAACAGTGTGCACTGATCGACTTCGCCACTTTCAACAGCGTCTCGGTTACGTGGACACTGTTGAAGTGGCGGGGCTCCCTTGAACGTTGGCGCCTACCACTACTGGTCGCAGGGGACATCGTCTCGACTCCTGTCGCCGAATCGCCTCGATTCGCAAACTGTGACATTCGGCCTAAGGGAGGAGGTCAGGTAGTCATGTAATCGCCCCGCCCCCCCGCCTCCCCGAACTCGAGTTTCGCCAAACAAACTTTTACTGCGTGATGCGTGAAAAAATGGTTCACGCACCTTATGGTCCTGTACTCTCCTAGAACTATATGAAACACAATCTTTCAGTGGTATACCCAGGTTTTACGCGGAATTCCATTGTACATAAATAATCGATTAGTTGCTTCACTAATCGTTTTTTCGTAGTAATTTCCAACTGTGTAGCTTTTTATATAGGTATTCTAGCTCGTTCGTTTTATCTCGCTTCCGCTGTTGCAGTTAATGTCAATGGTTACTCCTAGTTCATTTAACGAGCTTTTTTTTCACTATATGTGGGTCACGAAGAAATGGGATGTGTTCAGGGAAAACTTACCTATGAAGTTGCCCAAGCCGAAAATTTGTACCACGGTCAAAAGCGCAAGCGACATTCCACCTCTATGGAACAAGTTCTTCAACTGGTATGCGGAGGTCTGTACGATCCATTACCTTTCTGTCTTAACTTAAGTCAGCTCTACGTTCTACGTCTTGATCTTTCCGTTTCAGGTTTTGGGCGTTTACAAAGGAAAAGGCGAACCATTTACAGTGTTCGTGAAAGGTTTGGGATGGATCACTGCCGAGGTAGCTTCTGTCATAATGTCTTTTGACCATATTGCTCTTATTATCCTTAATTCGCAATCGGTGCACTCGTGTTTCGGTAAGGCTGGTGTCAGTCCGCGATCCTTTGCGCGATTTGCGCGACGAGTCACGGAAATTACAAGTGCCCCATCCATACTGGAAGGTGTTCTCCAATCCCGCCGTCACTTCTGCTTGATGGTTATGGTTTAATGGAGACTGCTCATGATTCCACTTGTTTCATATCCAGTGTTTCAATTGTTCAAAAATCCCTCACAACCTATCAATAGTTAGGGTGGCCACAGCGTTTCAATTGTTCAAATGGGGCACTTGCAATTTTTGTGATTGGTTTGGTTTGATTCCTGAAAAAAAAATAGGAACGATTCAAGAGCATTTCAATGAACTAATAGACATTGAACATGAAACAAGTAGAACCACAAACATTCGTCTTCCAATCTTTACTGCCAAGCAGAATTCGCAGCAGGATTAAACAACACCTCGCAGTATTCATCGGGCACTTCCAACTCCTGTGATCCATCGCAGGTTTCGCGAAAATCGCGCAAATCGCGAAAATCGCGAAGAGCGGATCGCGGACTCTGACACCAGCCTAAGAGGGAATAGGCAAAACATGATTCGGGGGGATGCGGGGGGGCTCGGCGATGGCGCGGGCGCTAGTTTCGTCTGCCTACAAGGGCTTCGTCCTAGGTCCACAAGGGGGACTGGTACTCTTTCCTTCATTATGCGGCAGGTTCAGAAATGGACGCGACGTTAAGCCTTGGTAGAGCAGACGAAAATAGCGCCGCCCCATCGCGTGCCCCCCCCCGAATCCGAGTTTCGCCAGTGATTCTGTAACAGTAGTAGTGATGTGACTGGGCTTATGGTTTTAGTCCAACATAAACACATTGACCACAGTGATATGCGGTTGCGCGTCCCATCCTTGACATTCCTCTTTCTAGCGCATGCGCGGTTTCTTCGAGCTGTGCGAGGTGCGATGACCGCGTTCGCAAAATCGCCCCTGTCTCACGGGGTCAAAAAAGCGACAAAGTGCTGTCGTCAGTGTGTTCAAATATAATACAATTTTCGAGACATGGGTCGCAATTGGTTCTTGCGCTCTCACGCTCGAGAACGAAAGTTGGGAGGAGGACTGTCAGTGAGGGAGAAAACCATACAAAACTGAAATTAAGGGCCTCTCTTGTTAGTCGCCCGTGGTACGAGGGGGGGGGGGAGTGCGCGAGAAAGTGTAGGAGAGGATGCAGACAGCGCATGTAAAAACGGACGGGAAAATGGCAGCAAATGAAGAGTAAAGGCAATGCCTTAGCGCCCTCACTCTCTAGTCGCGACAGTGGCACGACCCCTGCGCTTACCAGGAAGGCCGCTCAGGAGGTGTCAAGCTTTTTCAGAACGGTTTTTTGCGTGGTATAGGGGAACATAGGAGAACATGGGAGAACTGCTCTAAGGAACTGATACAGTCTGTGCCCCAAAGTGAAAAAAGTTTATTCAGCAGAGAAAATTTTTAGAAATTTTGTGAAGGGATCGCCTGCGGAGGTGTCGTGTACGGAATCGATATCGGACATTCTTTTGTTTCTGAAACCAAGTTTGCGTTTATGTAAATATTTCTTATTAAGTTTTCCTGAGTACCGGAATATGTTCCGTGCAGACAGTGACAGCGTAGAGACGACGTTTTGCGAAACTAAATCGGAGGTACTTGCTGCTATAGATGCCTACACAATTGATGTGTGCTGCTATGGTGAATGGGGAGCAAAGGCTCTGGAGCTGGGAGTAAGCAGTTGTTTCTGTTTCCTTTTAAATTTCGTTTCAAGTATTTATTTATGACAAATGCATAACATCTTTTAGTTTTTTATTTTTTGTTACTATCATATGTGCTTCCGTATTTCGAGATGGTCTTTGGAATGGAGGCACTGAGTGAGCAGAATTTCTGCTTCACAAGTGGCTGAGCATGTTGATTTTGTCTCTAGTCTTTATCTCTTTTCAAAAAAAAAATGACTGCTGTTGAGTTTCTCATGGCCACTCTCGAGATAAAATTGTGATAGGATTTTCATTTTTTGATATCACGGGCATTTATCTGACAGAAAAGTTTAGACTGAAATATATGAGTAGCTGGGAAACCAGGAAACCGCTGGTAACCTTGAGATAATGGAATTCGTACCGGAACGCGTTACGCGAATAAGGCGTTTTTTTTCAGGTAGGAGATATTGTTCTCTTCAGCAACATCCGAAACTACAAAAGTAAGTCGAATAGCTCTTCAGCATTAACAATGCATGAAGGCGGAGCTGCTTTCGATCGTGACCTCACGGTGGTCGACAAAAATGATCAGATTCATTTCGACATAGCGAAGTAAGTTCATAATTCGTTAACAGTTGTTTCATGGTGATGCATTCCTACTATATATAATTCGCTGAGTATTATTAGGTTGGAAAGAAAGTCCTGCAACACTTTTTCAATTTTTGATTTTAATTTTATCTTTTTTGTTTACAACTCCTGACCGGTCTATATCTACCATGAGTGTCCACCACTTGTCTTCAACGCTCAGAAAATTTCTTGATGCTCCTTTGCCAAAACCCAGCGGAGTGCAGGTCGAGAAAGACATTTGTAACGAGACATATACCAAACATTTGTAACGAGACATATACCACTAGATGTGTTTTTGGACGCTGATCTCGAATCTGCTCTCCAAATCTGCGAAACGATTTTCTGAACGTAGTTATGAAGCGAGATAGTGCAGTGGCAGCGGCCCGGGCCGACGAGCAAGAGGTCGTGAGATCGACTTCTTGGCGAGTTCTTACTTTTGCTTTCTTGAAAACATTGTTTGAAAACATTGTTTAAGAACTTTTATCCATGCTAAATCATCAGCGATTGCCTATCATACAAGTGGAAAGAGCTGGCGAAGAGCTTCGAACACTGTGCGCGTCATTTGCAAATGACCGCCTCTGGCACCCGTAGCGCACGCGTCATGCACTTTCGTGCCAAATAGATGTGATTTTCGTGTTCAGCGCATCAAACTACCCCTTCCGACAACTTTTGGTCCAAATCCAAAATTTTGACCTAAAGTCGAAAATGTGGGCACACACGACCGACAGGACACGGCAAATGACGCGCACAGTGTTCGAAGCTCTTTGCCAGCTCTTTCCACTTATAGGATAGGCAGTCGCTGATGATTTAGCATGCATAAGAGTCCTTTGAACAATGTTTTCAAGAAAAGCAGCTGAGAACTCGCCAAGAAGTCGATCTCACGACCTCTTGCTCGTCGGCCCGGGCCGCTGCCACTGCACTATCTCGCTTCATAACTACGTCCAGAGAATCGTTCCGCAGATTTGGAGAACAGATTCGAGATCAGCGTCCAAAAACAGATCTAGCTTCAACCTGGTATCCTTCCCTTGTTAGTCCTTCGTCGTTTAGGCAGCCTATTCGGGCCCTGAGATTCTAGCAGCCTCTCCCGAGCGGTCCTACCCAACGCTGCCGTATTGGGGGCTCCCTCAGGTTCAGGGGAATGAGGCCCATCCATATTGCTGTTTTCGGCATATTGAAGGCACACGAGTAGCTTGCCAGGCTCTGTCGTGTGGGCTAGGATAGACCTCCAGGTAGTTAGCCACGCTATCCTGGAGCGGAACAAGGGGCTTATTTTTGGAGGCGGCCCCGAATCGCCTCCCATGTACTTCCCAGTCACTTGAATGCAAGCTTTTGGCTGTGCCGACATGCAGGATACCAACCGCACACACACAGAGCGCACCACACACGCAAGCATGCATGGATGCGCCTGAGTGGAGACAGCTGGTATGAATCAACACAGCACTACAGAAACAGGGAGTCCATCCCCTGAATCCACCTGCGTCTCAGGGCAAGTACATGGTGGCTTTTGGTCCGCGATTTACCCCCTATCCGCCACCTGGGGTCGCGCCACGTAGCCTCGCCACCAACCGGCTCGAGATCTTTCAGTGAGAGAGGACCCTCAGTGAAAGAGATCCGTGGACAAAAAGTGTTACCGGCTGGTAAATTTCTGTAACGTACCGATTTTTACCCATTGTTATCATTCTAATTGCGAAACATCATTGATATGAAGCCTCGCGCTGGTGTGTTTCAGTTTGTTTTTTCCGGTCTGCTTTTTATACCTCTAATCTACAACTGTCTCTCTAATTCGAATGATTGCACATCCGGGCAATCTTGCAAATTGTGCGCCAGACGTCAACACCCACCGCTATGCCTTGAACCCTCCAATGTGTTTAACACATTGACGACAACGCGGGGGATATATATCCCGCGCATTGCAGGCCATGTCGGACCGTGCGGGATATATATCCCCCGCACCCATTACACTCATTTTTTTCGCGCACGCCTGATTCTTTTAGAAGTTTCTTGTATTCATTCCATGGAAGAGACCTTGACGTAGCTACAAACATAGTGGCCCTTAGAATGGTCACGTATGCTTTAATTTAGAGGAGGATTTCTGAACCATACGAAATCTTCATTTCAATAAATTTTTCGTTTACTTTTTCTTTTTATGAATGTGAAGATTTAAATAGTAGTAGAAGTAGATAAGGAACCTTAGGGATGACAATATGTGTGTTTTGATTGGAATAATCAACGTAAAATTGCTTTTGAGGTCCATTGCAGCTAGTTCTGACAAATTTCGCTTTTTCATTGTTATTCCATGTCTTTCGATCGAAATTCCACTACTGTACCCCTGGTTAGGTTGCGCTCATTACAATTTACTGATTTGGTTTTGAATTGATCATTAGTTGTGTATTTATCACTCAAAAAACGACCTGAGGCGAGCGCGCCCGCAAAATTGCCGCGGTCCCACGCAGAGTCAACCCTGCGTTGCGCAGTTCGCAACGGCACGTTGAGAGATCCTCAACGCACGCTGTATGGGCGGAGACGCAGACGGCTCGAGCATGCGAGTGTGAATGTTCGCGCGAGAGAACGTGTCTAATCGGGCGAAACTGCGCAACGTGGCCGTTGAGAACTGCGCAACGCAGGGTTGACTCTGGTCCCACGTGGCCAAAAGAGCCAAAACTCACGTTGTCGTCAATGTGTTAATCAAGAAAGGCAGCTTTCGCAAGTTTACCACCCCTCCACTACTCATCCCTCCTCGCTGCGAACTTAGGAGCAGTTATCATTGTTTCACCGGAGGAAACCAAGCACACCCCTCGTCCGCGATAGGACAATGTGCCCCCATTGTTAGCGTCCTCTCATAAGAATCAAGACATGCACTCGCAAGCCACCCTTGTACCTCTGTATTCGTCATCAATCCTGCGAACTCTTCAAAGAGAACAGATTTCACTGCATCTTTTCCAATCGTTCATCACAGGCGGACTAGCAGCTAGCACTAACCGCATTTTCTTTACTATACGTGGATGTTGACTTTTTAGTACTTCGTTTGTTTCTGCAAAATTACTCTTCGCCTTTCTTTTACTTCTGTTTGTCTTTGATTTCCTTGTGAACAGGGCAGAGATTTTCGCCAAGTCTGAAGAACCTCTGCTAAACGAAATCTTTGACCGTTCTATGGGCCACATTGTCTATGATTGGCCTAGGAGTGTATGGCCCAATAGGATGAACTCAAAGAAATTGCGAAAAAGTCGGACACGCCGAAAAAAATGAATGTAATGGGTGTGGCACACATAGTTGCCGCAATGTCCACCGTGGCTCGGGAATGGCTGCATACATACGCTACAAGCACGTCGACAAGCGTTTAAGGTGTACCGTTCATGTAAATCAGGCTCAAGCAACTGATTTGATTGATTCATATAAATGGAATTTTCTATAATTATTGTTCAGGCGATGTGCTGACACGCTCGCTGAATGTCTTGGCTCGGATAGCAGTCTAATTAATGCCGCTTCAGGTGAGTTATCTGTTTTCTTGTTGTACTGTAGCTTTAAATGTATCATCTTATGGGTTATATCATATTTTAGAAGTGAATGTGACACCAATAGTTGCTGACGATGTGGTGGCCCAGTCTACTCCTATACTGTCAAAAAAATCTGCTGAGGTTTGTGCGCTTTAGTAATGAATGATTGGTCCCAAAGATCGAAAACATTTTCGTATTTTTTAAGGCGGCTTATCCTTGTAAAATCATTGTTACATTTTCAAAATGTACACAGAGCCAACCCCACTCACAAACTCCTGACTAATCCCGATTGCCACTTCTTGCATTTGAGCGAATTAAAAGATCCTTGGGCTAGTTCGCTCCTCTTTATCCGCTTTTGCGAGTAATTGGTCATACCTGTGAACAAGTCAATTTCCCGCTTTCTTGTTGTAGTCCGCAAAACATTTCGTGTATGTATCGTGGTTCATGCAACCTATAATGTATCATTGCTTTTTCTAGCTGGAGGAGTTGGGGTTTGGAAGGCCATAAAAATTGAGGAGTTGAGGAAGCTTCCCAAATAAAAGAGGGAGTAACAGTTTGGCAGTTCAGAACAAAGCCCAGACTTCTGCTGTTGGCAGGATCATCTCTGTTCACAACGAAGCTGAAGGTTCCATTGCTGTAAGTCTTACACTCACTCATATTTTGAAGGCAGATGATGCAATAAATTGGTCAGTGTTAAATACAAGTAGGAAGAGTAAGTGATGCAGTGATGAGAAAAATATCAAAGGGGACGGCTCAAAACCCGTCAAGGG